AGCTGCTGTGTGGAACCATTCATGAAAAAAAGGAACTATTCTGACTTCTCGCTTATTGGAAATATCTAAAAATGATGACGAGCATCTAGCTCACCACACGCACCGGCGGTTCGATCAATAAGAACTTGTTGTTGGCTTTCACATTTGCTGAGCTGCACAAATTAAAAGTGTGCGTGTGTGTGATTTTTTTCTGCATGCTTTTGTAAAAGTGTGTCCGTCACAAAGCTTGCACCTGGCCTCCTCGTCCAGGCTCCCAGAAACCTCAGAGATGAAATAAAGAGGTCGTTGTCCTCAAAACCCGCAACCAGGACGAGTTGAGCCTCAGCAAAGTCAGATGTATGCTCCAGTTTCATCTAATCAGACAAGTTATTTTGAAGTGTGTACATTTTAGCTCGAAATGATTCAAGGTCTTCATTCACACTCGCACACACTCGTTGTCATCCCAGCTTCTTTTTTGTTTTTCTGCATTAAACCGTGTGACACTTTACCACTAGCCCCTCCTTTCTTCTCCAGCTCCTCTTCACAAGTAAATTTTCTCTCTCCTCCAAGTCCTTGTGGTTGTTCCTCTCAGTCTAAAAAGGCATGGAAATAGATTTTAAGTTGTTTGTTTTTTGGGGTTTTTAGCATCAAAAAGTTTCTGTAAGCAAAAATTTAATCTGAAAGATTTTTTGGGCTTTGATTTTTTTGAAGATAAAGAGACACCATCTGATCATAGAGGCCACATCATGTTGTACTTCACGAGAAATTAATGTTAAAAGATTTCTCAAAGACGTCTTAAATAAAATAAAAAAAAATATTGAGCTTGCGTTCAAGAAAATCTGGACATTTGATCACATTTTAATAAAACGCCTCGTCGTTTAGAAAAATAACTCCATGATGCCTCATACTTTGGATCATGTGTTAGTCCTCCCGAAGTCTTAAGAGTCGGGGTCATTTGGACCCCGCGTGCGCTTATATGAGGTTTGTTGTTTTTTTTTATCAATGTAGTGTCAGATTAGGATTTGGTATTGGCAATAATCTATTCTTAAATTACTCTGGAAGAGGAAAAAAACTCTTGTCTGTAGCATTTAAGAGTTCTAATCTCAATAAAAAGTGTTTAATATAGAATTTTCTCCTACTAATATACAATAATAATAATATTAAGAACAAAATAATGCTGATAGAATACTTATGTAAATACTAGAAATATAAACACATTTTTCATTTTACGTCATATTGCACATCATGGGTGAATTTCTACTACAAGGCATCATGAAATGGTAAACAGCTGCTTTGCACTCAGTATGAATAGTTAATGGTTTTAATGGTTTTCCATGAGAGCTGGTGGAGGAAGTACGAAGAGTTGGCAAAAGGAAATGAACGTTGTAGACCCATAATTTATTGCCGTTCTGGTGTAGAAAAACAGACTTGAAGCAAAATACAGACACAAGCTCTTCAGCTTGAGCCATCATTGGAGAGCTGCAGGTTTGGTCATCTTCTTAAACTTTGCCTGCAGATTAATGTTGAACATCAGCAATATTTAAATCAACTGTCTGCAATACGGTAGATGTGAGTCGATCTAGAACGGATGCAAAAAGAGAAATCATCAACTGACAGGCTGCTGGTCATGAACTCACCGTCGCGAGCCAATCTGATCCATCGAAAGGTTCTCACTTTCTGCGTTCTCACTTATTACACCTGAGGAGAGCCAACCTGTTACCGTCTCCATCACTTCGTCTTTGTAAAAAGACGCTTACATACTCTTCTCTTTTTATTTCCAAAAATAATACAAGACACACCATTTATTTTAAAATCTCAGTAAATGGAACCAAACAGGGATTTCCTCTCACTTCCCCGAGTCCTTGCGGGTTTTTTTTTTTTTTTCCATGAAAGATAAAATTGTGATCCAGACGTCTGAGAACTGTGGAACCACGCCGAGCGCCGATAAAGGTAGTAGTCATGGGAGAGCAGATGACCAGCGGATTATATCATACTGGCATGGAGTGTGGAGTCAGCTGGGAGGTGTTAACGGGAAGCTTCAATGAGTGCTTTATCTTTAACATGCTGTCTTACGAAAGCTCAAACAAAGTCAAATGAAAGAGTTGGCAAAAACTGTGTTTAGTTTCTTTTATTCCTCCTTTCACAGTCATTTTTTCACGTCATTTGGGGTCATTTGTTTCCAATGATGTGCATTTTATTTTGGACCTTCTTGGTCCTGACTGTCCACCCACCCGTTTGCTTTTACTGCTCCTCTTTAAATCTCTTGTCTCGCCATACGGTTAGAAAGCCAAGCACAGAGATGTTGGAGTAGGGAATGTAATCTTTGCCTTTTGCAGTCATCGGGAGAGATGATCTGAACCTCCTGCTTGACACAGACAGGAAATGAGTGTACAATAGTATTATAGTACAATAGTATAGTAAGGAATTGAGCCTTTGGCCTCAGATGGCTATAAACATTTTAACAAGATAGCGTCATGTGAAGGTACTTACATTTATTTGGCAATCGTTTCTTGTTCTCCACTTCTCCATTTGCTAAGTGCAACAAAACAAATGGTCATAGTCTGCTTCATGAGGTCTGCTACTAATTTTTGTTAATCAGGAAGCCACAACCGGCTCCAGTTGCGTCTGGTCCAACTCGCTCTCTCTGTCTTTTTTTTTGTTTTTTAATTTAGCAATTTTTGTTTCCTGATTGGTTCCGGATGAAGCACGTTTCCTTTCCTCCAGCTCTCCCCATCAAAACACTTACCTCATTTCTTTATTTCACTTTTCGTTTGTGACTGACAATGTCGTTCCAGAATAATCGTCCTTTGAGGAAACATCTATATCTATTCGTGACTAAAGCCGGCCTAGAAACAAATCTGCGTGTAAGCGCCTTCGCAGATGTAACACAACTGAGAGCCAATTTCTGTTTTAGCGTCACACTGACACCAACTTTCTGTAGAAATCTGATTAGGTCTATATCTGTCATCAGCAGATTGAGAGCCGTTTTAATGGCAGACAGATGGGATTTCTCTCTCTGGGCCGGCCAGGTGTGTGCCTGGGTCTGCGTCTCGGTGTCGAACAAAGGAACCAGAGAGGGTGATGTCATCTTCTAGCCGTTGTGGGTCTGTTTTGTGCGTCGGGACTACAGAAGGGGATGGTGGCGAGTGTGGAGGGGGGCTCCATACTGAGGTCACCTTTCTCAAACACAAAGAATCGGCTCAGCTACAGAAACATGTTCACAGTTGAAACAACATCTTTTGGGTGATTAGTTCAGTGACACATCATATTTTCCCCCCCACACACAGTGTGTGTGTGAACACAGTTATAAATGTGGGGTTCTTTTTCACTTCAGAGACTCAGTGTAACTCAACCCCAGGAAGGAAAAAATCACGTTTCTTCATCAGTGTCTGTCATGATGTAATCTGCATGATACCAGCTGCTGTCTTGAGTGTGTGTTGATGTGTGGTGTGTGTCCACCTGAGCTCATTTGTCAGCGAGTGAATGTATGTTCAGGTCGTCGGGGGTCACATGCGATGTTCCTCATGCGGCGCTTAAATTGAACAGTTTGTGAGACTGGGAACAAAGTCTGATCTATTCAGCTGGTCTGTCATGGTTGAGATTTGACTTGAAGAGTGTCTATGTGCCGTCATTTGGGAAGAGATGAGACAAGCAAGAAATAAACGCAAGAGTTAATCGAGGACTGGAATGTATGGATAGAGCCAAAATCAGATTTGATCGTTCTTCAACACTCTGATGTTGGTGTCTGAGGGACACAACTCAGATAAATTCATTAAACACATTCAGTAGTTAGTCATTTTATTATAGTCACAATTAAAATGATCTTCTGCAACCTCAAAGGCTATGTTACAGACAAGTTGCCTTCTTGGAGAGTGGTTTTTGTTAAGAGGTTCCCTGTTAGTTTTGACTCTGTTGTGTTCATCTTCAAATTTTCTTTATAGTTGGGGGTTCAACAAATCACTGTCCTGTTGTATGCTTTTCTCCAACACCACTTGCTTTAGCTTTAGTTAGAAAAAGTATTTAGTTTTGTCCACTTTTAGACATCATTCATAATGTTGGTTGAATGAAAGTTTGATGTTTCTATTTCAAGACGACTCGGTGAACAGGGGACTCTTTCTTTCTGTCCGTTTGTTAGGTTGCCTTCTCTTTACCCAACGTGTCTCTGGTGCTGTAGCACTTACAGGTTAACACCAGCTCACATTTGTCCTCCTGTCACTCTCAACCAGCCCTGACCTTTATTTGCTAACCCCGCCCTCACACGTATCGTACACACATTCCCACATGTCTCCAGTGGCCAAGCCCAAATGGGTTAATCTCTCATCGTTGAGTTTGCGGACTTCACCCATTCGTTTTAGCCCCCAGAGGGCCGAAGGTTTTGGGTGTCAAAGCTCCCGTTTTCTCACAAAAGAAAGTGGGATCATGTGGCAGTGCAGACGTGTATGACATGACAAGGTCCAACAGTCCAGCTGCGGTGTTATTTGGTTATTGCTTTTCTGTCTTTTAAAGGCTTTTTAACTCACTAATTACTGGAGGCTCTTTCTGTCCAGCTGTACTGGGTATAACAAGAGTATGTTTGTGCTCTGTTGGTGGAGGGTTGTGTTTCTTTTTTTTCCCTCCTTGCCTGAATGCACACTGAGTTAAGTCTGTTAAAGAATGCCGAATGTTTGGATGTTCGTCTGTGATTCTCTATGCCATTGTGGCAGAAAATAACATGCTTCCAATGCGGTTTTTGGTTTTATGACCAAATGAATCACCCCGAATGCTTTCGCAGCCTATAAAACTGTCATTTCGAAGGCTTTTTTGATTCCTAGCATCACTTTGCAAAGCTGGTCCACAGAGGAAATTGGTCATTTTGTGCTTTTGTAAACAAAATGGAGGAAGTCAGAGTGTCATCATTGTCTATGTGTGCAAAGGGTTGCCTTATAGCAGAACTATTCACACAAAAAATAGGCACATATATTGAGTAATTACCCAGAATCACTGGTTTGTGGTTTTCTCATCTCTTTCTGTTTGTTTTCCAGGGTCGACATGTCAAGACGGGACAGCTGGCGGCCATTAAGGTCATGGACGTCACAGAGGTCAGTGAGATCACTTCATCTTTTATTACCGTCAGATGGGATTGTAAATTCCAACAAGTTGGCATACAAACCATGCTGGTGTATATTGGTGGTGGAAGTGAAATAATTTATGCAGATTTGAATGGTTAAAATATTTGGGGAAGCGCATGTTGTCCAACTGAAAGCTGTAAAATTACACTTGAACGATTTATTTTAATAAACGAAAATATACAGATGTTCTCAATGAAGTTAAAACTTGGCTTTTACTTTGAGTTTTTGACCAGGTGGAGCCCTTAAAAATTAGAATAATTCATTATAGATGAGTACAATAGAATGTTTTTCCCTTTAGATTGCAAAAATATTAGTTTTGTGTTCCTCTGCAGAATTTTGATCATCAAAGCATGAATATTTGCTTCTTCTGGAGCTTTTTATATATAAATATAAATATTTATTCGAAGACCTAACAAAATGGAAATATAGATAAAGAAATAAAGAATGACGTTATCTCAGTCATTCTGTCCAAATAGAACGGTCTGTTCTAGTTCGTGGTCTCCATCCCATTCCTGTCGGACAAAATCCGCTTCTTTGACCAATCTTAAAAGTTACTCAGCAGATTTGTTGAAGCCGTGCAGAGAAATCCACTTATTGGGAAGCTGTTTCAAAATCCCGCCATGACATTTTGAGCGAGAGCCTCGCTGTGGCCGTCAGCAGCAAATCTGCATTTCTAACCATTGAGATCAAAGAGCGGCAAGCAGGGGGATAGATCAGCGATGTTTATGGATTCATGTGAGCCGCATCGCCGAGGAGAAATGCAAGTGTTGGGGAATCAGGACATGGCAGGACCTTTTTAACTCTATTCCAGTCGAATGTTTGGATTAGTCTTTTTTTCCCTCTCGCTCCAGCTGTTATCTAAAATAAATGTACAGTTCCATTCTGGACGCCCGCCAAGAACGACAGCTGGATGGAGGAAGTTGGTGGCACTGGGACGGATTGAATCGGCAGTTCTGGGGAAACACTAAGCACTTCTGTTCCACATTTCTTTGGACGTAAAGAAAGGAGTGTTCAAATGTCAAGGATCCACAAAATCCCATGACTTATTTCTTCTAGACGCATAGGTGTCCACCTTCAACTCCCTGTGTATAATACACATAAGTGGTCTGACCCACATACAGCTTCCTGTTCTACATATTGTTTGGCAGAAGAAAGCAGGGCTGGACGAAAGATGACCAGCTAGGAGAGGAGAGAGGATGTAGACTAAAATTAGGTTCACATGGTTTATGTGTTATAAAACATTTGCAGTTGGGGTAAACAGACTCTGTAAGTTGTGGGGTTGTAACATATAAATGTTCTAGTCTTCTTAAGGTTTGCTGTACTTTATAGAAGCACACCTAACCTTCTTTCTCACTGTGCAACCCAAGATAGACTAACTTTTTTCTGTTCTATATGAGAAAGAACAAAGTTATTCCTCCTTGTTATAAATGTCAGACGAACAAAAAAAGGATAGTTTGGATGGTTCCTTCAGACAGTTGCTGCAACTTGGTCAGGTTTGTAGGCCAACTTCCTCACATGCATCTTCATAGCCCACATTCTGCCCACTCCACTGGCTGCGACATACCAGTATTGTTACGGTGTTGTACGGGACAACACCGTAACAATTTTAGAAATTTTAGAGATCCCCTCTAAAATTTGTACAACTGCACATTTTAATGGTTCGAACACCACAATCCAATTATTATGCACATCTTGGCACTACTGCAGATCTACTGTCTCCCTTATTTCCGCTCTTTTTGGTACAGCCAGTGGGAAATAAATGGTGCTTCCGGATTGGCTGCTTTGTAAACACCAGCCTATAGTAGTCAAGACACATTACGCCAGTATTTCAGCTTCCCAAACTGCGTTTTCTTTTGAATATTGTAGATACTTTTGAGTAATTGGATTTTCCTCCAAAAATTTGCCGTCTCATTCCACAGAAAATGCTGAAGTGCGGATAGCCGAAGCTGGAACTGTGCAATCCTTCACAACAGCATTGAAGAGGATGAAGCAAAATTAAGAAATGAGACGTTGATGATCACGTGGCTTTGACTTGGCTTTCAGGAGACAAATAAGCAAACTGGTTGTTTCACATAACCACTTCAGAACTGGGTTAAGCACCAGAGTCAGTTAACCTCTTTCATGCATTAAAAATCAACGTCACACCAATAGCTACACCGTAACGTTGACTACGGTATAGATCTAACCGAATTGGTCTATTTCATAAGAGTTTTATGCCGCGGCCTGTCTGTTGAGCGATGGTTCAGTAGCAACCTTCTCCCATGTTTAGAGAAGACTGATGTCAGTGCAGTGCTGGGACGAGAAGACTGGAATGTTGTGGGTCACCGCTTGCAGTGGGACGGCTTCAGGAGCTTCTGTTTCAGATGGATAGGCTGCAGCCGCTTCAGGTTCGAACTCATGTCTGTAGCACATGCGTCAAGTTAATTCAGTGGCCTGCTTAGTTCATCTGTTTTAGGTTGCTGGAAAATTACTCAGGCACACTACGAACTCTCTTGTGCTTCAAAACTACACCGCCCATCACATGTTGTGAATATGCATTCTGTTTTGAAGCGATTGCTCCTCCAAAGCAGGAGTTTGTCTAAATGGATGTTATCCCAATCAATGAGCGCTGATGGGTTGTAAGAGGACAAAATTGAAGGGAGGGAACAGAGTGAGAGAAATCATGGTAAGAAAGAGTCTAAGAGCTGAGATAAGGAGAAGAAATGGGCGAGTTTCCCCTCTGCTTTACTCCACTAAGAAGGTTCATCTAAAGTGCAGTGGGACGGGCGCCTGCTGCTGCCTGCCTAATTTTTATTTCCTCAGCTCTCCTGCTTACATCTCTGTACATCCACCCTGTCAAGACCAGTGTTGTATAAAGTACTGAAATCTCAGAATCAAGTAAAAGTATAGGTAACTCTCCAAAATATGACTTTGGTAAAAGTCCAAGTCACTGAATGAAATGTTACTTGAGTTAAAGTCTTAAAGTATCTGAAATGTCTTGTACTTAAGTATGGAAATTACTGTAAAAATGGATGTACTCAAGTAATGTAATGAAAAGTGTAAGTAAAAAGTAAAACAAGGCAAATGCAGTTTGAATGACATTTTTTATATTTTGGTAAACTTGTCAAATTCAAACCCCGAATCTGACGCCACAGATTGACGTCATGACCGTCTGAACCAAAGTCTTTGAATGGAGGCTGTTTGTAATTTGGTCACCAATCCCTTTTCTGTCTTGCAGACTGTAAGAACAGTCTGCAAGGTTAGATTATCATTTCTGCCTTTACCCCTCTACATCTATCCCTCCATCTTTTTAGATGTAGGTTTCATCATAGACTGAAGACGAGGGTTCATTGACAAGTCCAGCCACATGAGACGAAAAAGAAAAGTATTAGTGCTTTTTTTTAAAGACGTAGTCTTTAAAAAAAAGCGACAAGGCTTGACCTTGCCACTCGAGGGGCCTTTTTTAAAAAAGACAAAAGTCTTTAAAAAAGAGGCCATGTCACTAATACTTCCCTTTTCCATCTCTTTGTGGCTGCATTGTCAACGAACCCTCTTCTTCAGTCTATGCTAAAGCCTACATCTACAAAAGTAGATGTAGAGAGAGGGTAAAGGCAGAAATGATAATCTGGCCTTCCTCCAAGAGGTTCGTTCTTACAGTGAGCCTGCAAGACAGAAAAAGGATCAGTAAAGGTCGCAAAAGGCCTACATTCAAAGACTCTGGTTCAGCCGGTCATTGACGTCAGTCCGTGACGTCACAGTTCTATTTACATACAATCTGTGACGTCACAGTATTTTAATGTAGGCCCTTTATGGGTGACCAGACGTCCCTGATTTTCCGGAAAAGTCCCCGATTTTAGCATTTTATGAATGAGGGGAAGAAAAAAAAAAGTTCCCTTTATTACGGTGGCCGGAAACTTCATTGCCCCTTTTCCACCTGCTCGGCAGGGAGTGGTAAAAAGCGTGTTGCGCGCAACCATAGCACTTACGGTAGCTGCTCGCTCCTGTTAACGTTACAGAGAAGACGAGCATCGCAGCCAACAGCCAATAAACATCAAGAAAAGCAGCGCGCGCTGCCAGAAAAGACAACAAGCTGGAAGAAGAGAGCTCGAGTTTTCACCTGCTGACCTGATTCGGTACAACGTGTTTTGTCTGAACGGGGCTAATCTTTGCCGTCATAAAGATTTGGATCAATAAACAAACACATCAAGACGACGAACAGCTACAGAATTAGCCAGAGAGAGAAATCGCAACAGGGTGATAAATCATCGCAAAGGAAGATGTTTTGCAATTAACAAATGGTCATCGTCGGGTCGTATTTTCCAAGTGTAAAGCAGTGCTTAAGTGTTCCAACAGAGGGTGCTGTTGTTTTCTCTAAATGCTGGCACTACCGCAATTCTGACATGTTGTCCTGTCGGGGACACCGTAGTGCCGGAGATTTTTGTGCGCGAGCTGCCGTATTCCTTACGGTGTGTTTACCGCCTGTAAGGTAAGCAGCGGCTCTGTTAGCCCGGTGTAAGATATACATTACATTAATATAATGAGCTGGTGATGTTTGATTATTTTGTGAAAGGAAAACGATTGAATGCTGACGGTGTGTTTACTGCCTGTAAGGTGGACGAAATAAATGCGCCAAAGTCTCCCCACAACGAATAGCCGCAGGAAGAACATTAATGACAAACTCAAGAGAATTGTGATATGAATGGTTACTAAGAAAGAGTCCAGAACAACCAAGTCCAGAAAGTAAAAGTCCAAGGTCAAGGTGGGCTTCATGTGAGATGACCAAGGAGGAAAGCAAACAATTAAAAAGTGAGACTGGAATTTATCAGAGACCTTTGGACAGAAGAGACAAAAGGTCCATCAGCTCTAAGGTCACAGACACCAAACCTCTAATAAGTTTGAACCTTTTGCAGTGTATAACAGCATTCCTGCTGTTATACACTGCTTAAAAAAATAAAGGGAACACTCAACTGTTATTTGAGTGTCGAGTGTTC